CAAGACTAATAAAATAGACTTAGACAATTCACATGTCAACCCGATTTATACGGTAGTTGGTAAAGATACATCGAATCCATTGATGGCTGAGGTTTGCAAAAAATCCTATAATAACCAGTTCGCGACAATGGATTCACTCTCAAACTTTTATGGAGTCTGCGATAGTAGTCAAAGCCTTGATAACCTCCTCCTCCATAACATTGCTTTAATAGTCACTGACGCACCAGCTTCATCAGTTGGTCTCGTGACTCGAGCACCTGGGATAGCTTCAGCAGTAGTAGCTATATAAGCACTAATGACTAGTCTTACAATCAAATCTCGCACAAAGAGCTCAACTTGACAAACATACGATGTATTCTCATCTTGCTCTTCCCACACTCCGATGAGTATACGAGTATAAACTGCATCTCCTTGAACCTCCGACAAGTATACAAGGTTAAACTGATTCCCGACACTCTAATGAGTATACAAGTATAAACTGATCCTCCGTGCTCCAACGCCTTACAAGCGTAAACTGGGTAGACTCAAGTTAACATGTGAGTATAAACTATATTCACGCCGTGATGTTGGTCAACATGTCATAATGAAGGTCAACGCTAGGCAACGCATAACAATGAAGGTCAACATCGATCAACGCGCCACAATGAAGGTCAACGCCGGTCAACGCATCGATAAGTTGACCAAAATAAGGCTCATGATAATTCTCAGTTCCAAATTACCCCTGCGAGTCCAATCACAGTTCAGTTACAAATTCTCAACAAAGATGGTCAGTTCAATGTCGAATCAACGACATCAGCTAAGTCACATATCAACACACCGGTTTCAATTCAAGATTTTGACAACAGTCAGATGATAAACGCAACATCAAAAGAATTTTAGACTATTCGACAAAATACTAAAAATACTGAAAGCTAAAAAAATTAAAGAATTGAAGGCTATGCCTATCTTATCCAAAGAATTCCAGACTCATCTATAAAAGAATGAGGCTGAAACACTTTGGAGGGGGTATCTGTAGACGTCAATATTTTCCTATAGGTTCCCGCATGTAGCTCGAGACGAAGAGAAGACGATGAACGTTGATGTCCAAGTCAAAGAAGTTCTCCGATACTAAAAGGAAGTAAAGGAACATGCGAAGGAATGCACGAAATGACAAATCGGTGAAACAAAGAAGCACGAAAATCGATGAAAAAGCAAACACCGCCAAAGTGTCTCACTTGCGAGACACTTCAATGTGTCTCACATGCGAGACACTTCAAGGTGTCTCGCCGGCGAGACACGGTGATGTGTCTTGCACACACAGACTGTCTCGCCCGGTCAGCCTCCCGACGATGCATTTTTTGATAAGTTTCTCGTGATTTGTTCATTTCAGCGGCCTCTTAATTGCCTTGGGGTTATCCCTGAACGTAGTGAAGTCATTATTAGTGGAAGATAAGGCCAAATCACGAAATCTTATCCGTAAACATGGTGTTCACGCCCTATAAATACCCCCATTCGTACATTCGTGAAGGGTAATAATGGTTAACTGATGAACGCGCGAGAGAATCCACATTTTCCAGAGCAAAGCCACATTTTTATAGCAAGAGAGGCAAGATCTTAGCGAATTCTTGTGCATAAAGAGAAGATTTCGAGAGATCTACAATTGTTTCACCTTTTCCTTAGGATCAAACCTTGTTTTGATCTTAGGAAGAGTATTTATCTCACATCTTGAGATATTTACTTCTGTTATTGTTTCTCTCACAAAACAAGAACGTCGAACCTTCGTTGTGATCAACCCGGATCTGATATTCGACGATCCACGGATCAAAACGTCCCTAGCACAGGCAAAGATCCCATGCAAGTAGCGACCGATAAACGAATTTTGCATGTGTTTCTAGGAGATCCTCATTTGTTTATTTTTATTTGTGTGAAGAAGTATTATAAAAAGGCTCACTTTTTTTGAATCTGTAATTCGATAAAAGAGTTGTAATGAATTCTACAAATAAATCAATTTTCGACGCAAACAACCTCTATCTGGGCCCTTTTAGCGATGGTTGCGCAGTATGACATGGAGCTCAAGCAATTAGATGTCAAGACTGCATTCTTGCATGGAGACTTGGAGGAGGGCAATTATATGTCACAATCCAGTGGATTTACAGTTGCTGGTAAGGAGGATTATGTGTGCAAACTGATGAAATCATTGTATGAATTAAAACAATCACTGTGACAATGGTATAAGAGGTTTGACACATTTATGATACTACAGAAGTTTACACGGAGTGAGCTTGATCATTGTGTGTACTTCAGGCAGGTTGGTGGTTCTTTCATCTATTCGTTGCTCTATGTTGATGATATGCTTATTGCCTCACATAGTATGGTGGAAGTCAACAAGCTAAAGAAGAAGTTGAGTTCTGAGTTTGAGATGAAAGACTTGGGTCCTCGAAGAAGATACTTAGGATGGAGATTTTTCGAGATAGGAAGAATGGGAGGTTGTGTCTTTCTCAAAGGCGGTATGTGGAAAAGGTGTTGGCTCGTTTTGGGATGCAAAACTCGAAGAAAGTTAGTACTCTGTTGGCTCCTCACTTCAAGCTTTCAGGTCTATAGTCTCCTACTACTGAGGTGGAACATGAGTACATGTCTCAAGTTATGTATGCTAGTGCAGTTGGTAGCCTTATGTATGCTATGGTTTGCACTCGTCCAAATCTTGAACATGCGGTCAGCTTGGTTAGTCGGTATATGGCAAATCCGGGTAAACAACACTGGCAGGTTGTCAAAGTGTATTTTACGACATCTTCAATGATCGTTGGATGTCGATTTGGTTTTGACTACTAGAGAGTCACATGTGAGAGGGTTCGTGGATTCAGACTATGTGGGTGATTAGGACAGGCATCGGTCCACCAGTGGGTATTGCTTTAATCTTGCCGGCAGTCCGATTAGTTGGAGGTCTATGTTACAGTCTACTGTGTCGTTGTCTACTACAGATGCAGAGTACATGGCGGCAATAAAGGCGATTAAGGAAGCGGTGTGGATACGTGGCACTCACGCGCTCCCTGAAAAACTTCCCAGGGGGCCACCCATCCTAGAATTTCTCCAAGCCAAGCACGCTTAACTTTAGAGTTTATAAGAGTTGGGTTCCTAAAAAGAAGATGCATCTTGATGGTATGAGTATTCCAATCAAATCTATCAATACTAATCACATCACCCTCTCAAGGGTTGGGGTATTACAATAACTGAGAGAGGGAAAATTCGACTAACGAAGATTGTCACTAAGGAGAACCCGGCGGACATGTTGACAAAGGTTATTCCAACAGTTAAGTTTGAGCACTATCTCAACTTGATCAATGTTCTTTGGTGTTGAGGCTCTTCGGGGCAATTTGATGGCGACGGTTGTTGAAGAGATTAGAGGTTACTTCGGTTATAAAGACTATCGGTGGCTTACAAATTTCGCCAGTGTGGGAATTTGTCAAGTTGGCTTTATTGAAAGCCACCCACCGGTGACTCATATTGAGCCACAAATTGCCAAACCTCTCTGTCGACTACAAAGTCTGAACACACTGATGGATCCCACATGATTTGGACGCGTTTTCAAGTCCCGTTTGGATTCAGATTCGGGAGTTGTTTGACTAGTTGGACTCCTGTTTGGATTCAGATTTGAGAGTTGTTTGGCTAGTTGGACTCGAATTTTAGGGAGACTAAAAATAAAGATTGCCTAGGGTTTCTCTTCGTATCTTTGACAAGAAAAATTAATATTTATTTTGGCTTTGTAAGGGAAAGATATTAGGGTTTCTAATCTTCTCCATCTTTATTGTAACCTCTTGATAAATAGTGGATTGTCAATCTCGCCGATTGTGGACGTAGGCATCTTGCCGAACCACGATTAATCGCTGCCTTTTCTTTGTGAGGTGGTTGCACATCTGTGTTTGTCACTACATATAATTTTTTTTTAAAAAATCAACCCCGCTTCAATGCGTGTTTTTGACATGACTGAATTAGGTCGATATTGATAAATAAATTTGCATTAGATCGATTTTGGTGAATAAATTTGGGAAATAATCTATTTCAAAAATTTCTGCTATTGTAAAGAATTGTCATGTCACATGGTTGGTCTCATGAATATTATGGCAAAGAAATTCTTATCCCTCAACAACCCATGTTTTGGTCAATAAAACAATAGGTCCATTTGAGCTTGCTAGGTGCGGCAATGCTTAGATTGAGCCTGGTGTACAACGATGGATCCAAAAACTCTCTCCTATGGGAACACAGATACAATTATACATACATATTAGTAACTTATATTATACACATTCTTGCAATATGAAAGTTTATTTATGCAATAATCACAAAGACCTCAACAGATTATATTTTTCATTATCATTTTCATATCAACACATGATCATGCTTTTATTATTATAACAAAAAAGTACTACTAAGTTCTAATATTCATAATTGTTCTCTACGTATTCTCATCTTTCTTTTGATTTGGGGGCACCTATTAAATTTCAATGGGGCCACCTATATAAATTTGTTACCCACTAATAAGAAGTTTAAATAGAGATGTTAGTGGCTTAAATAGAGAAACTCAATGCACAAAAACAACTAGTGTTAGCATTTTAACAGTGAATTTAGCTAACACACGAGTTGCTCTCCGTGAACCCACGGCTTACACACACCAACGAGGGCGTGACATGAATGTTTACCATTGTTCTAAGATTGACCACTTGAGTTCAATTAACAGCCTTAATTTTGACCAGCCTTCGCTTTAAAACTTTTCTGTTAATATGTTTGTTAACTACACGAGACATAACAATATCAACAAAGGTTTCTAGGTTCACAGTGTCATCTTTCTCAATTAATTAGATAAAAGATCAATATGAGACTTTAAACACATCAGAAACATGATTAAAAGTTTTCCCTATTCATCTCAAAATATTGTTAGCAAAACTAAATAACAGGGTACAACATTACATGGCATTTGAATAATAAAAGATGTAAAGGATTCTTGATACTTTTGAGTACAAAGTTTGCTGCCGTTCAATCTAAAAAAAGCATTATATACAGCTCAGATGAAAAATAATTTGTGCCACATTTGTTCCCTAGCAAGAACAAAATTTGCTCAAACGCAGAACAAGTCTGAATAATTACTAGAAAAAGGAGAAAAAAGAAGATAAAATCTGTACACATGCTCATTCGCTAAAGAGTGAGTAACATACATGGAAAATTAACTGTACAAACCTCTATAATACCGATGATTTAACTTTTCTTCCCTGCTCCAAGGGTAATAGAGACCTTTCTGTTTGATTTTGACAGACTTAATCCCATGAGTCTTCCTCAGCAGGCTTTGGTTTACTTTTGGGACGACCACTCTTTTTGGCGTTTTTACTCAAAAGAAGCTTCAGTCCAGTCGCCAGTGTGATCTTTTTCGGGTTCATATTCTGCAAATCATGATTAATTTAAGACCAAAGGTAAATTACATGTGTAGGAAAAAGTTGATACACAATAATCTCAAACATTATAATCATTTCCATAAAGAAAGCTAAGATACTACCTGTTTGGTACATTTACTACTAAGATAAAAATATGCGAAATTTAGAAAATAAATGCAGTTTTGAAGATTACCTAAATGAACTGAATGTTACTTTTGTGAAAGTTCTAAGGTAACCAGGCAGATGCACTAAATTGCAAGATCCATTCTTTATTGAAACAATACAAGTCTAAATAAATTATAAATTTTGAAAGTGTCCAGTAACATATTTGCCCATTCCTTTCATACACCCAAAAGAACCCCTGAAAAATTCTAATTAACCAACTAAATTCCTCAAAAGGGCTCATTCATCTGCCCCTTATCGTCAAGTGAAATGTGACAGATCATTTTATTCCCACCCTCAACTCATAATATGCCCATGTTACTATCAACAATCATGGTTCACTAAACTCTATTGTGCAATTTAATGTCAAAGGTTTGCTGTTTAGGAGATTTCATTTAATTTTATTCTGCTACGTGTAATCATTTATTGATATTCATAGGATAGAACGCAAAATCAAGGTGTGGGGGTGTTTTACTTTTAGCTATACATCAAATGCTCCAGTTAAACCTGTATTATGCTTCAAAATTTTCAGTCATGTCCTATTCAAAAGTGCACAGGAAGAACTTATTGTTCTCAGGACACAGCCAACAAAGTTAATATGTTGATGAGCAGTAAGAACGATAACCAAACTGGAACAGCTCCCTAAAGCAAAGCCGGTGTGAGCAAGAAGGTTTATCACCTTCCCATAACCACGAGTCCAGATACATCATCTTCCAAGGATTCTAAGATTTCTCCTCTATCTGTGACCTCATCAATACTTCTTAAAACAATAGTTTCTCCAGCAGGTACTTAAATGGGTGTAATTAATTCTGGATCATTGTGTACAAGAGTGGAAATCTCTCTTAAATGTACAAGAGTGGAAATCTCTCTTAAATCTAAAAGGCCAGCACCCTTGTTCCCTTATTCAAGCCAATCATTTTGACCTCTCGAAGTTTTAGATTTAATTCAGTAGCTAATATTGCGATCAGGATGGTGTAGGGTAAGGCGTAATCCCAATTTTCAATGAGGTTGAAAAGGGGCTGCTTCAGCTTGAGACCCCTCAGTTTTTAATTAACTTGGTCACTACACTGCATTTCTAATTGCTTCTATCTCGCAATTCACTCACAATTTGTATTAATTTGCGAGTGAATTAAAAAAGAAGTTGTAATTCTTCAGGAAGGTTTTAACTTGTATATTTTCCTTCTTTTAAAAAGAAATACTCGGAAAGGGCATAAAAGTAAAAGAAAAAAAGCATGGCCTTTGCTCTAATTATTTACCAAATTTATAAAGCATGACAAATGTAATTCCACAAACCTTAAGGAACAAAACTCTTTAAATGTAAATTTATTTAAAAATTGAAAATATTATTTTGCATCATAAACTTTTAATGTACAAGAAAACTCACCTGTTTCAGATTAAAACAGCTTGTATCAGTGTGCAGAAGTAATCAGTGTTCTTAAATAACTAACAGATGTTATTTGTTTTTCGATTGTGTACTAGCAACCTCATCTGTTCATTTCTATTTTAATATCCTGATTGTAATTCGTGCACTTCTGCAACTTACTAAATAAAATTTGAGACCATAGCTCCAGGCCTGTAATTTTGAGTTCCCTTGCTCTTATATTTAACCAAATATTATTTTAACCTTCTATCCTCTTGTCATCACCTCTTGCAAAGACACTACAGCTTTAATTTCTTTCACATTTACAGTTACAAGGAGCTAGCAGCAAAGCATTTGGATCACCACAAAAAATTCCAAGTCCATAGAATACCATCATATCAAGAGTTTGTGAAGATTTTGCAGAACTTGACTTACTTTAACCCAGTTGATATTTACATTAAATTGCAAAAAAAATTCTTTTACTCTGGCAAACAGAAAAAGGTTCCTTGTTCCTATGGACATTTCTCATGTCCATATAGGTCAAAAGCACATATATTCAACTGATGCAGCGAATTTTTGTGGCTATTAGCCTGTCAATAAACTGAAGTTACACCATGAATTAAAACCCACCTAACTATTAGCCTGCTTTCTTACTTCAAAATGATACTCGTATCCTGATGATACACCAATCTACATTTAGCAATTTATATTTTTAGGATTGTAGACAATTTCTTATCGACTCTGGTCAGTACTGAAATCAAATTACAGATAATACATTTCCTCTATGCCCATCAGTTTATTTCTAATGGAAGAATTTTTTTCCATTCTCTACGATCATGAATGCTTTAATCCCTTTTTCCACATAATCCTCCTTTTCTTTATAAGAATTAGCTTAAGTCATGGAACTAGGAATTAGCATGGATAATAAATAGGTAGCAATACCAAATTGGCCCACATTACATCAAATTTTGTTTGCCAATCACCAGCATTAACTCTTATTTTGGTTATTTCTCAAGAGAAGTGAGTATATCCGATCTTCAATCTTCATAAAAGGATGGAGAAGATGATAGTATATATTACACCAAGGGAAAGGAATAAAGTCCAACTGGGAACATGTAAAAAGTACAAGAATGATCCTTATTAGTGACAACGTAAATGATTTGCAAGGATAAGCATGAGCTTCGAGACTACAAGGGTTTGGATAAAGTGAAAATTTTTAAAGATACTAAACAATTTGTACAGTGGAAATCTAGGATTGAAATCTGACAGAGTGATGATTCAGAAAGCTGAACCTAATCAATTAGAAAAACTGATAATGTGTATGACTGGTCATAATTATTTCTATTACTCTTCATCATCTAAGACTGGTCATGATGTGTATGAATGATCATAATTTTTTAAAGAAATAATTATGCATCACAATCTTCATCATCTAACATTTTTTTTCCTTAGAAGAATTATTTTTCATATTGTTTCTACAAATTTGTATGTTTTAAGTACACCTGGTAAAAAACAATGCTTCCTCATATATCTAATGCAAAAATAGAACTGATCCTAATAACATATTATACAGAAATATTGATAAATCATGAACTAACTTACCTAATCATTTTTAGAAGAGAAAATAGCTGTAAGGAACAAACCTTTGGGACTGGGGCAATAGTTCGTCGATGTTTAATTGAAAATCCAAATTTTGAATGTTTCAAAAAAACAGGATGTTCATCATCTGGATGATTACCCTACATTGCATAGTGAAATAATTTTTTTATTCAGAGAATTAATAGGGAAACAAAGGTTCTAGATGAAGAAATAAAAAAACAAAGTTTAACAGAAACATACCAAGCTAATAGGATATTGTAGAAGCTCAATAGCATCATCTAACGTAATAGATTCCAGATCTTTCACCTGAAGGATGTTATCCGTATTAGCTTATAAATCCATGAATGTGTTGTGTAATAGGATTATTACCTCATTCACAAGACAAACAAAAGGAGATCAGAACAAACAGAAAGTATGCAGACACCATAGGAATGAAACGACACATAGGAAGCATGACCTCCTGGTTAAAATGTTCACAATAATGTGACGACAAATCTATGTTTTCAGCTTGCATTAATAGAAAGATAGAATGTTTTACCTAATATTTCCACATGCTATGAAACTCTCTTAGACAAATTCAATGGTCAGGAACGTGAATCTGCCCAAGCTTTATCATCAAAGCACATTGCATCCATTAAATTGCCAAGAGTTATTCTCCTTAAATTCTCTCTAATGCAAAAAAGAACTATCGCATTTTTCTTATTATTATTTGAAGATATAGATGAATTCCTATTTAGACAAGAAGGCAGGGTTGTTCAGAGCAATACCCTCCAATCAAGCCCCAATTATGTGGTCAAACAGTTACCAATAGTGGTAAGATGAATTTATAAACAATCTAAGAAAATAATGTTGAATGTAGCAAAGAGCAAAATGTGTTGTTAATTTGTCGCGCAATTAAATAAAAAAGTGTGTATTCCAATGAAGCATAGGCACACGTATAAAAACGATGCTTTGTCCAATTAAATCAAAAAGTGTGTAATCCAGTGAAACATGGGCACACATAGGTGCCTTGCCCAGCAAAACCCTAAAATATTGGAATGACGGAACATATCAAGAATCAAGTGGTCTGATACACCAATACTATCATTTTACGTGAGTCCTAAAAAGCATCCAAAATTCATGTCAGAGGGTTAGGTATTACAACTATAAGACTCAATAAATTTTGTATTAATCATAAATACCTGAAGAGTTTCCAAAACAGTACACAAATACCTCAGAAACAGAAGCTCTTTTGGGTGTAAAACCTTTCTTATCTTCCCCCAGTTGGACATAATATCCATATGGACCATTCTTCAACAAAATCTAGAGAAAAAAGGTTCAAGGTAATCATCTACTGATATTTACAAACATAGAAAATTTTGCAAAGTCCTTATACAACAAAAACAACAATAATAGCAGCAGAAGTACAGTTCATATATCATGAGATTGCACTGCAGATACTGTGAAAGATGACCTTTTCATCAGAACCAGGCTTGCATCCTAGGAACTTTGGCGGAAAGGACTTCTCTAGCTTCTCAGAAGGAACATCTTCATCCTCTTCAGCATATATTGTGCATGCTGTGTACCTACAATCTCATAGGTCTATTACAGTATTTGTTGTGTACAAAAAGCCATTGAACAATTTTGGGTGCTAATATAAAAAAGAAATATCATAGATTTCAGTAACAATATCATGAATCAAGGCTTGAAACATATGGTACCAACAACATATCACTCTATAAGAATTTTGTTAAACATAGCCTTTTAAGAATAATGAAGCTATTGAACTCTAAAAACCTCAAGGAGACCAACTACGCATTCAACAATACGCATTACTTTCTTTTATATTACTCAATATTCTTAAAATAAAGACGAACTCTTACAATAGAAAATTGAAAATCGGAACCTCTATTTTCAGTAGAGCAGCTGAATCCCAGGGTTATCTATTTTGCTTAAAAACAGTGAATATGAAGATTAACCATTGTAAGAGGAGTAATGGGTCATATGAGCGGATTATCTCTTGACAAGTCTGCATCTCAGCCAAGCATTGTATCTAAGTTAAATAATAAAAAAAGAATCCCCTTTATTTGATGCTGCATCTCAGCCAAGCATTGTATCTAAGTTAAATAAAAAAAAAAGAATCCCCTTTATTTGATGGCTGAGATTCAACCACATAACTGTATATGAGAGAATTCCCTCATGCATATTATGATACCCATTATTCATAAAGATACACACACACGCACACATTAGGCTATGTATTATAAGTCCTTTAAAGAAAACTATGTGAAAAGAAACCCGTAAGGCTAGTTATATTACCAATTAAGGTTGTGGAAAGCGGAAAGCGGAGTGAAGCGGTGAAGCACCGCTTAGCTTTTTCGGGCTTAAGCGGTTCAAAGCTGAAAAAAGCACCAAATAAAAAAATGGTCCAGTTTAAATATGGATAAATATTTAAAAAATAAGAAAAACTCAAGAAAGTGAAGCTTTTTACAGCATTCAAATTTCAAAAATTATCTGATGCTCAACAACACTACTGCCAGCATCGAGCCCAACGGAGACATGAGAAGAAGAGGACGGGAGGAAGTGTCAGGAGAGAGGGAGAAGAAGAGGACTGGTGCTTCCAAGTGGTGGAGGAGAGGAAGTAGACTGCAGCTCTGATGAGGAGCTTTTGGAGATGGTGCGAGGAGCTCAAGAGAGGCGGTGGATGATAATGAGAGGTAGCGAGAGGAGGAGCTAGGGGTAGTGGTGGAAGCGGAAGAAGCTCTTGAATGCGAAATTAGGAGGTGATGGGTACGAGGGATTTTAGGTGTTTAAAATGGATCTAGGTCGGGTCAGATACAAAAGCATTTTAAAGTCCTATTGAGCGCTTTTTAACAGTTTTCTCTACTTTTAACCGCTGTTTCGAACCTTTGTAAGCCAAAAAGCTCCAGTGTCGCTTTATACTACTGCTTTGAGGCAAAGCAAAGAGGCCAAGGGCCGCTTCTGCTACATACCATCATTTTTTTCAACATCAACGACAACAACAATAACAAAGTTTATCCCAAATGTTGCTATATGAATTTTATTCTCTCATTCTACTCTATTCTAGGTCAGCTCCTATGTTAAATTAACAATTATCATATTCTTCTAAATTACTTCTGCCCAAGTTCTCTTAGGTCTACATCTAGATCTCATTGCCCCATTAACAATAATATTATTACTTTTCATAACTGATGCACTAAAAGATCTTTGTTATATATGACCAAACCACCTTAAGCGATTATCTCTCATTTTATTCTCAATAGGGGCAATCACTAACCTATTACAGATGCACAGATCTCTTATCCTATCTTTTAGTGTATACTAACAAGACCATCCTAACAACCTCATTTATGTTACACTTATTTTTTGCACATGTTTTTTAATTGCTCAACATGCTGTTCAGTAAAGCACTGTTAGTATTATAACGGTTTTATAGAATTTTCCATTTAGTTGCATTTATACGGACTCAATCACACAAGACTCCCAAAACACTCCTACATTTTAACCATCTAGATTTGATTTGATGAGCAACATCATCCTCAATCTCATTATCATAAAGAAAGATTGATCATAAGTAACGAAAGTGATTACTTTTAGATATTTTTTGACCATCAATATATACTATACGATTTTCTAGTGTTTAATTTTACTTAAATACACTCCATGCATTTTATTTTTGTTCTAATTATAAAACCGTTAGTTTTGAGAGTTTCTCTCCACCTTTCTATATAGAAATTATCCCTCTAATCTCGTTAACTAATATTATATCGTCAGCAAATAAAATACACAATGCGACTTCATCCAGTCATAAAACTAAATTTATTTTCCAATACACTTCTCTCATTTCTTGGTCTGTGCTCAATTACCCTCTCCCAAAGTTTCACAATACAACCCATGAGTTTAATACCATGATAGCTTGAACAACTTTGTATATATGCTTTCTTCAATAGTATTACCAACATACTATATAACCTCAAGCCAAAGATGGATCAACCATCAAGAGCTTGCATAACAAATATGAAAACTGAGAAAAGGTTCGAGCCTTGGTGAAACAGTCAACGCTGGGAAAATCACCAAAGAAAGTCTTGATATTGGCAAGGTCAATGGTAAGGATCAAAATCCAACATCAATGGAGAAAGTGTCAGCAAGATCAACGTCAAAGGACTAGAATCCGATAACATCGATGGAGAAAGATTTGAAGTTGATGTCATAACCATGTAGCAAAAAGAAGTCCAATGCAAAGGGCTAGACAAGAGATGGAGCCAGGAGCTCTCTGGTGTTATGAACCTTGGCACTCATACCATATGAACAGCTGGGAGAAGATACCTCTCTTATTAATTAATTGATGAATTTGAAGAGGGTAGTACCACTACAGATATGGCCATTGTAGTACAGAAGGAAACTTATAAGAAAAGAAAGTTGTAAGAAAGCAAAGCTAGCTACAATACCCATATATTATATTTAGTAACTATCAAGATCGAACTACCAAATTATTTCCCAGCAATATAAAAAAATATAAGTGAGCATTATATTTAATAGCCAAAATATTTCTGAACTTCTTTAGATTCATTTCTTATATTGATTGGGGCCCAGTACTTAGTCTGATCATCACACATCATTCTTTGAGTTCCCACTCTCTTCCAGGCCAATCTTGGAAACAAGAAGTATAAGCACCTTCACTTTTAAGAGTTTACTAATAAATATAAGACAGACAACAGTTAATGTCTCCCTTTCCACACATAGACAACAATAATGAATGGAGTTTTCACTGTGTGGAGTGCTAGAGAGTGTAATACTCACTTTGCAAATTAAGTATTGAATATGTATCATTGCATTCACGACTTTCAGTTGAAATTCCAAGTATAAGTAAGATGTATCAAATTGGACATAATGACATAACAATAGAAATAAATATGTGCATGTGTCCTTGAGCAATGTGCATTAGACATCTTCCTTTTATCTCATGTGCATAAAACATGATGTATATAATGATCAAGGTTTTAAATATCGGATGTCGGGTTCATGTCGGACGACTGAAATTCATGTCAGATAGCGAAAATCGGGGATATATTGGGGGACATAGACTAAATATCGGATTGCCATATCGAGTGATGAGCATATGTATAATATCATGTCCTAAATATAATTTAAGCATTCCTAAATTCAATATAAGCATATTTTATAAATTTTATAGACTAGACATATAAAAAAGTAAATAATATATGATGTTTAGGATCACTAAACGATTGTAGAAATCAATTGCTTAAAAAGCATACATTGGGTGATAATTTGCACTTCTCAATTGCTTGAGAGTTTCTAATTTCAATTTAATTTCAGTAACAACTTGGTACGAATTCAAGAGAGGGAGCTGACATTAAGGAGTGTCAACTGTTAAGTATCTCACTCTCTCCTATGCATTAGCATTTAAATTTGTTGCATTTTAATTTTATAATTCAATTACTAACTTAAAATTAATTTTATTTGACAGTGGGAAACTGAAAAGATTCAAGGGGAAAATTAAAAAGAAGATGAAGGCCCCTCGGTACAAACTCAAACCGCAGTAAATAAAAACCCAGGCAAGAAGCCCTCGGCATAAACTGAAAATGCAGAAAAAAAGTCAAGTACCGAGAGAGAGGGGGAGAGGGAGAGACCTGACGGCTGAAGGCGATCGAGTCGAGAGAGATACCTGACGGCTGAAGCCTCAGGAAGCAAGAACGAAGGCGGTCGAAGGCGGCTGAAGGCGGTTGAAGGCGGTCGAGTCGCAGGGGGCAGCGTTGGCAAGTGAGAGACGAAGAAGATGAAGGCGGCTGTTCTCTTCCCAGTCGCTGTCCTGTAGCCCTAGCTTTTTGTTTTTTCTTTCTATCAACTCGTTTTCCGGGTTCGGGTTCGTAAAAAGTCCCTCAAGTTCAACACATGTCAAATGGGTTTGGGTTTTCATCACAAAACCCAAACCCAATAAGTCAAAAGAACTTTAAACCGATATTTGGGGATTTCGACCAATTTTTCAAAGGTTAAAAAGCGGCCGACATGACCGATATTTCCCCGACATCTCCGATTTCCTCCTGAATTCCGATATACGACTCAAAATAACCTGATTCGTGTCGCTTGACCCTTCAATCCGATATGTCGGCCAACATGTCGGACATGTCGACCGACATTTAAAACATTGATAATGATAGGTGTATGAGCAGATCTTTGTACATATGTCTACATTTTTTATATATAGAGTTAAAACTACAAAAGAGAGGACAAGTAGAAAAATCAATTTGCAATTCCATGCCTTATCTGGCATTATTTTTAAATATGAGTCACTCTTTTAAACGGTAAGGTATCTAACAAAGAGTTTAACTGATCCCATCCTACCTATATGAATAGCGGTTTTCCGAAATTTCTGGTTAAGTTCTTTCAAGTGGTCAACAATTTTGCACTTGCCAGTTACATGACAGTAAAATATTGCGTAGTGAATTGATGTAAAAAGAAAAAACTTTTTTATCATTCACCTAATTTCTTCATTGCTAGGCACTTTCTTTATCTCACCAAACTAGTCTAGAAAAGTAAATAACAAAAAATTTATATGAATAACATTTTTCATTATCCACGATTCTTTTGTCATCATGCTAGCTCCTGATACAGCTATAATGTTTCTCCTCCAACACAACTAACACCTACTATGTGCATAACCATCGAATGTAGGAATATTGAACTCATGTTTAAACTTCCACAGTATCTAAAATGACATGACACTCATATTAAATATGTATTGCTAGTCTTACTACCCTAAACATTGACATTATGTGCTAAGAAATGCATTGAAAATGCAACTTCTAAAATGCAAGCTAAATTCATCATACTTATTTTTCTTTATACAAGAAACTCATGTTGTGTTATGCTTCAAACTGCAGCCTGATCTAACTTTAACAATACCTAGGACACAGATATTAAGTTATGCATATTAATCACCTAATATTACAAACAGCTTGAAGGTGAATTGACACAAAATTAATAGATTCACCTTCACTACAGCCTTACTCAAAGCTATAAGAATTTTCTTAGAACTCTTCCATTGTCACAATGAAGCATTCAGTTTGGAATTTTTAACAATATTCTTGTCCTTCTTCATCAAGATTCTTTAATATTGTCTGATCAACATCAAATCTTCATAGGATATTCAAGAAAGAAGTATCCAGTAAGATACATTCATTATTCTTTATGTTCCATTTTCATGGTCTTTGCATACTATTATTTTGTAAAGTAGGTGCGTTTCTCATACGCACAACTTCGTACGCATTCCCAACCGAGTTGGGTTTTTTTGCAAAAACCAAAGCAACAGCCACTTATACAATCTCGTGACCCTATCTTTCTCTCTCTCTCTCCCAAAAAGCCCCAACCCCTCCTCCTCCATCAAGCTCCAAAATCAGAGTGCCGGTGAGTCTCTCGAGCTCCCTCTCTCGAGCTCCCCCAAATCCGGCAACTTCGACGACTTCACCAACTCCGCCTCCCTCCCAACGTCACCCATCATCTCTAAGTGAACTCTGTCGAGCTCCCTCGATCTCCCTCGAGCTGACCCCCTCCTCCGCCGGCTTCCCCCAACTCATCCGACGCCAACTACCCCCAACTCCACCGATCGTGACTGATCTCCCTCGAGCTCGATCTTGATCTCCCCTAACTCAGGTAACAATCAAGCCCCAAATTTTTTTACCTATTCTCTATTATTTTTCAGTTAGTGTATAGTTTATTTGTTGTCCTTAGGGTTTCAAGCTAGACTAAGTTGCATGAGGTTAAAAATGATCTTGTCAAAAATTTTTACCTATTCTCTTTTTCTTTTTTTCGGAAAAATTAATAAGAATAATATCCATTGCGAGTGCGGAAAAATTAATAAGAAAAATTAATAAGAATCAAGCCTCATCTCTTTTGAACCAGGGTTGGCTGCCAAAAACTAATAGCAATGCGTGTGAAAATTTGAATCAGCTTGAAAATATCCATTGCGAATACCCTATTTTCTTATAACGGATGAGGACATTTGAGCTCATGAGGGATTCTGAAACTGAGTGTGTATAAATGTTAATTTGGTTAAAACTTCGAATTTATACCTAAAAACTTACATCTAAACTCATAGCTTTTATAATTTGAACCTAGTTTTTATACCTAAAAACTTACATCTAAACTTACATCCAAGAAATTTGAACCTAGTTTTTATAATTTCAGTATTTATATTGAGTAAAACCAAAACACATAGCTTTTATAATTTCAGTTTTTATCTTTCTGTTTACTTGTAAGCAGCTTGAAATGGGTTCATCATCAACTGTGGAAAGTAACGCATGTATTGAAGTGGATATTAGATTCATATTGAAACAATGCGAGTGTGGAGAATTAGCAGATGTGAAGATTACGAAGTCAAACAAGAACAGTAACTGTGGTAGAATATACTACTCGTGTAAAAGGTAAAAGTGCGATTCGTTTTTGGGCTGGTGCAAGATTTCATCAATTGAACAAGTATCACTCGTCATTCCCCCACCAGAGGCGCATGACTTAGTTGTTGTACGTGAAAAAATATTGTGGAAATGGCTAACTTTTATAGCTTTTCTGTTGTTTTTTGGTTTGACCATAAAAAAAATTATGTGATGTAACTTGATGTGCTAGAATGAAACAATCTTTTGCTTGGCCATTAAAGAAATTATGTGATGTATGTGAGAAAAATACTTTCTTATGTATGTAAAGTGTGCTGAAGAGAATTATGACTTCCATGTCTAAGATATGAAATTTGAATCAACGTGCGCTACAATACCATCTCTTGAACTGAAGCATTACAAGGCACTGCCAAATATAAGTAGTTTCGTAGTATGTCAATTGTTAATAGTCACTTAGTTTAATGAACATGCATTGAACACTTATTACTACTGAGACTTCGCTAAATGGTAAAAAAATAGGACATACAAGTGCTAGTTCAGAACCCCAAGAGGTTTGGTTCAAAAGAACAAGGAAATAAAAAAAATAAACTTTTGCAAGTTTATAAATCTCTGTTAGAAGTAAAATACCAGCTCAGAATTCTTCTAATATCCATCAGGGTTTTGAAAGAAAAATTCCCTCGAAACAATCATCAACAAAGAAGCAAGCAATTTTTGGTCATGGAAAATCTAAAAAGTAACCTGAAGAAAGTATCAACTTTCCAGCAAAGAAAATTTTATTTACGCCCTCGGCATTAAATTGGAAACCCTAGACCTGTAGGAGAAAATAATTGAATCATTTGTCGACAATTTCGATTAGGGTTGTTTTATAATCACTAGGAGCCTCAAAACCATGGAGATTAATGACTGTGGCAGCAACATTTGCAAGGCCACCGCCGAATATAAGCAAACCTTTCCATGTTATTGTATCAAATATATAGGAAATGAGATATAAAAATATGACAAAATTTTTGCTCTTATAATCAGTACAAATAACAATATATGAAAAAATTTTACTGCATCAGGGGCTTAACTCCCTTCACATTCCGTATAGAACAATAAAATGTCCCCAAATTAAAGCTCAGGGGCTTAAGTCGCCGGAGGAGGGTGGAAGTCGGCGGAGTTGGGGGAGTTCACTTAGAGAGCTCGAGGGAGATCGAGGGAGCTCGACGTAGTTCACTTAGAGATGGGGGGTGACGTTGGGAGGGAGGCGGAGTTGGTGAAGTCGTCGGAGTTGCCGGATTTGGGGGAGCTCGAGAGACTCACCGTCGCTCCGATTTTGGGGCTTGATGGAGGAGGAGGGGTTGGGGCTTTTTTGGGAGAGAAAGATAGGGTCACGTCGCCACGAGATTGTATAAGTGGTTGTTGCTTTGGTTTTTTGCAATAAAACCCAACTCGGTTGGGAATGTGTATGAAGTTGTGTGTATGAGAAACGCACTATATATATATATATATATATGAGATTAATGGGTATCCTTGTCATAGGAGGGGATTTCCTCCTAATGACGCCTCTAAAATCACATGATTGAGCGACATTATGGATGATCCGCTCCGTTGAACTTGATCTACATATTATAAAACCCCAACACACCAAGTTTGGGATAAATCCGTCATCGTTTGACCCTCCATCGAGCCATGTGAAAAGTTCTATTCATTCAAAACCGTTAAAATTGATACGAGTGGATGAAGGGTCAAACGACGACGGGTTCACCCCAAACTTAGTGTGTTGGGGTTTTAAAATATGTAGATCAAGTTTAACGGAGCGGATCATCCACAATATCGCTCAATCATGTAATTTTAGAGGCGTCATCAGGAGGAAATGCCCCTCCTATGAAAGGACACCGCGGATTAATCTCTACTGCTACTCCATCATCCGTCTCTCTCTCTCTATTATATATATATAATATATATATAATATATATATATTAATATAAAAAAATATATATTATATATATATATATATATATATAATTATGAGAAAAACTATGTCAACTTAAGTGGACGTCCACTAAGTTTCTTAGTCATGTGATGATCACTTGATTGAGCTACATTGTGGATGATTCCAGTTCGCGTTAAACTTGATCTACTATATAATATATGAGAAAAACTTATGTCAACTTAAGTGGACGTCTACTAAGTTTCTTAGTCATTGATGATCACTTGATTGAGCTACATTGTGGATGATCCGTTCCGTTGAACTTGATCTACATATTCTAAAACCCCAACACACCAAATTTGGAGTGAACCCGTCGTGGTTTGACCATTCATTCACTCGTATCAATTTTAACGGTTTCGAATGAATAGAACTTTTTATATGGCTCAACGGAGGGTCAAATCACGATGGGTTCACCCCAAATTTAGTGTGTTGGAGTTTTAGAATATGTAGATCAAGTTTAACGGAGCGGATCATCCACAATGTAGCTCAATCAAGTGATCATCAATGACTAAGAAACTTAGTGGACATCCACTTAAGTTGACATAAGTTTCTCTCTCTCTCTCTATATATATATATATATATATATATGTGTGTGTGTGTGTGTGTGTGTTACCACATGGGAGGTGCTCACCATAAAAAAGATTTAACTCAGAAGTACAATGATATCTATACAGAAATGACCTAGATAAATTGATTCAGATCTGCCAAAGCAACCTGATTATAAGCGTAAGCTACACATATATGCTTGGTCCTCAGCCTTTCAGATAGACAGGGGTATATTACTCCATTCTGTAATAAATAAAGTAGGACGCCTTCGTAAAATCCATGTGAATTTAACCAGACTTGTATCTACAAGTTGAATTACTTCTCAAAGACATCAAAGGGAAATGAGTAAATTATTGCAGAAAAAGAAAGTTGTAACTCACTTGCATTTAGGATTTCGATCGCATCCAATAAAATAGTCAGATCCTATGACTTTAAATTTCAAAGTGCCAATCGAACAACTGCAGATTGCAAACAAAAAAACTTATGTTAGTTGCTCTCAATTAAACTAGTAGGCACCAGTAAAGAGCATAGATGTAAAACCACAGAAAGCAACATTTAATATTTGAGTGAATAAAACCTGTCCAGCAATTGACAGATAAATGACAAGCAGAGTACCAAAAGTAATTATAGTAACCAAAATCCAGTTAAACAGAATGCAAACTGGAGGATAAATGCATTCAAGACTATTCTATTAGATTTGATAAGGATCGATGCCTATATTTATCACATTTAGAAAACATTCGGGTAAAGTACCTTGGGCATACCCGGCTTTCACTGTCTGCCGAAGGGAACAAGAAGTGACTGAATGTTTTCTCCAACATTTTCTCTACCTATTAGCAATCAGTATGTTTAAAAGGGAAAAATATTAAGATAATAAAATGATTGCTTTACCAGAAACTAAATATATGAGAAAATAATATTTTCACCATCTAAGAAATCACTACCTTACGAATATCAGTATTACTTGCAAGATCACAATGCTTGCTAAATCGTGACCAGTAATCTTTTAGAAGACCCCTCCATTCAGTTCTCCCGGCAGAAACATTATCTAGCTAAGTAGCACAAGTAAAAAATAGAAAATGGTGAGAATAACCATCAAGATAAAGAAATGAAAATTTTACTATTTAAATAATTTTTGCAACTATACCACTTTACATGCTTTTATGAAACAGGGAACATGAACTGTTATTTCGAACAACTATACTACTTTTGTCTAGAGATGCAAGTCAGGGTCTCAGGCTGACTAGCCAAATCATCCTTCAGAAAAGATTTTTGAAACTCGCTTTGAAGTGTTTTGAAGGATAAACGTTTCGAAACTCAAAGGAGAAGCTATTATCCCTCGAAGGGTATGCCTCCTCAGTTTAGGCATAACTTAGATGCACTTTCCGCGCTCTGTAAAGGGCTTCTCTTTTGAAGAGCACACTTCTTAGACAAGATGGGTAGGTATAAAAAACTTTTTGCCTCAAACTAAAATCCCCTTATCACTTCACTTTCTTTTCCCAATTCAAGTCTCAAGGATTTTCTTTTTTCTTTTCACTGAAGTTAAAAAGACAAGAATCACCTTACGGTTCTTGCCTGATCATATTGTATGCCAGCTTATTTTTTATGCTCTAAAAAATATATAATTCTGCTGATTCAACTTATTTTCCAACAATTCTAAATTTATGTTGTGGGGGGTCAAGGCCCCCTAGCTTTCTCTAAATGTTATACGTATATATATCTATATATATATACCTATATGTATAGGCATATATTTGTAGGTATATGGGGGGTCAAGGCCCCCTAGCTTTCTCTAAATGTTATACGTATATATATCTATATATATATACCTATATGTATAGGCATATATTTGGAGAAATAGAGCGTGGTCATGGCCCCTAGCTTTCTCTAAATATTATAGGTGTGTACTATAATATGTATGGGGGGGGTAGAGGGTGGCCATGGCCTTCCTAACTTTCTCCAAATATTATAGATACTATGCTATAATAATATATTATCTTATAGCTAAAGTAATATATTTTCTATCTTCTATTTTTACCCTCAGTTAAACTTGTTATTTTATTCATAGCTTCAAGGTTTTAATGTATTGTTGGAAAAAAATGGCCTAACTATTCATTAGTTTTGTCTCATTCATAACTCTTGTTTAGGAAAATGAGAGAGTCAAAGATGGTGATGGGATTGGGAATGAGCCTGGGTGAGGGAAGGTGAGGGAGGGTTGTAGAGATGAGGGAGGGTGAGGGGAGTGTTGGGAGTTATTCGGATTAAGTAACATTTTCTCTCTAGAATCCCCTCTCTCTGCTCTCTCTTCTGCAGAGAGTACAAGGGAGAAGCAGCTGATTGCCTCAGAAGACAATGGATAGAGCCATGTACGGTCGAATCATTCTCTTGCCAAATCATGTTATAAACTCAAATCAGGTAACCCACTTCCCCAAAATCATGGCTTTTGATTTGTTTCTTCATAATTGGAACCCGATTTCAAATGGGTTCTCATGGGTTTATGATTAATACTCAGTCTTTTGAATTCTTTTCATTATAATCTGGAGTTTTTACTAAGAAATATTTGAATGTTTGAGCTGGATTCATTAATAGTACATGGTTGTTTTATTTGTAATGGATATGAATTCGGAATCCTCTAACCTCCGCGGTTCATATCTAGCAATGGTTTTATTCATAAGTATAGGCTCTCTTTGCAATATATTTCTTACTGAAATAGTTTTGTGAATTGAATGCAATTTATTGGTCTAGGCAATTTTGATCTTCTCCTTGAGGAAAATATAAACGTTAATGCTATGATCTTTAAGGAGAAAGATGAAGAAATGCCAGTGGAGAACTCTTTTCAATGTTCTTGGGAATGAGAAAAGAGAAGGATGCTAAGCAATCACAGCTTTCAACTGATTATTGGTTGTGTTTTCTTAATAACAGTTTTGACTCCATATTGAGAATATTATTACAATTATTTAAACTCAATTCAACAAGTATTTATCCCTTCGATGGGATAGAGCTTACATGTCAAGAGATATTAAGTCCACTGATTTTTTAGAAGCCAACATATATTAACGATGTCGTTCTTAGTACATTAGACATCATGAAACACATGCCACGATTGAACGAAATTCACTATATAACACATGGAAATTTTATTTGACCTATAAGATCTCTCAACGTCCGTCTTCAACTTAAAACAGCTTTTAAATCTTATACTAAAACTACATTTTGCAATTAATACTATCTTAATCTCAAAAGTGACTGTGTTAAAATGTTAGATAATAACATTATTCATATAGAGAATCTTTCTCTTTTAGAAGTCTCGGTTCCATCTATGTATATAAACTTTATCAGAATGGTTGTATTAATACAGCAAACTGAGCTAGTGAGCTGCTCCGTTTGCATGATTCATATAGATGTCTAGTGAGAAAACCCTGTCTTCTTAACATGGTTTCTATAGAAACTGTACCACATGTTAAATTCCCATTTGAAATTATATTATTATTGAGATGATATCGTTTCAGAGTAATATGTTACCCAATTGTCTAAATTTACTTTTAATTTTGCTCTTCACATGTGACATGTGGAGGTTAGTTGCTTAAGTGTATGTGTGCTCGCGAGCATACTAAAAGTATAGCTACTATATTTTAAATAATACATATAACATATTATAGCTATACATTTAATAGCTACACGCTATTGTGTCATATAAAATATATAATATAGGGTAAATAGCTCATAACCCCCCACTATACCTCCAGTTGCACTACAACTCCTCAATTTATTAAGTATTACTTAGCCGCTTAATTCATGAGGAAGAGGGGCTTGCAACTCATCTTTCTAAAAATAACATTTCATGATGTTTTGTGCTAGTGAATGAGTTCAGGGGGTTTAGTGCAACTAAAAGCAAAATATGATGGGAGTTATGATTAATTATATAATTAAAAGTAATTATATAACCAATATACTTAAATTATACAATCAATTTACTCTACACTATAGATACCTTGATGTAAGATTTTGATAATTGGTTTATTATTGGAAATAAGTTTATTTATGTTCAAGTACTTCTACAATTATTTAATAAACATCATGGCTAAAATTGCTTTTTTCTTTTCTTCTTCCTATTGTTTGAAATAAATTTAATGATATAATTTGTAATGTGTTGTCAATCTGTCGTGACTTCAAAAAGATTATAATTGTAGTTTGTGGTTATTGGAAAAAAAAACTACAATTGATACAAGTTTATAAAAAAAAGTTTAGAAGATTGGAGCATGCTGATTTAATTATGAGTAGATATGTTGAAATGTTTTGCATAATCATAAAAACGGTTGAATTTATAACTTCTATTTAAGGTTTTTTAATACATATATTAATATAAGAAAATATATTAATACATTGTGATATCGTGATATTTGATTGCTTTTTTATTGATGTATAGCATAATGGTTATAGTTCTGCCTTCGCCATAGTTTACATTCATATCAAGAATTCGATATTTTCTCTTTTCTGGGAGTTGTGCCTATTTCCTACTCTATTTTTATCTAGTGTTTAAATAATGTAGCGACATGCTCGAGTTTTTGATAAGGAAAATTTAACTTTACGTAATGTATCTTTAATATGATCACGTGACTATATAATGTGTGTGTGTATACATACATATACATACATACATACATACATACATACATATATATATATATTTGAATGGGTTTGTATGAGAATAATATGTTAACGATGGGTAATAAAAGTATAATTTAATTTGTGGGTTAAATTTTTTGGGAGTTATACATAATGAAAAGTTTCTTTAGTGGGTATTTTATACATTATAAAGATGACTTTTCATATTCTCATTATTATCATTTTGTTTATTTTACTCGCAAAAAATAAATTTTAATATTTAAAAATTTAAGAAATTAGCAAGCGGCAGCTATATATATATATATATATATATATATATATGTATGTATGTATGTATATATATAGCTTAGTTTATTATGATTTATGTCTATACTTAGCATACTTAATTCTTATTTTAGTCAAGACCCAAATTTATTTGCAAATTATTATACCATTATACATTATAAGTTTATAATATTTATAAATTTTAAAATTTAAAAAAAATCTTAACTGAAGCTTATGCATCATGCTTTGAAGTTTACGCCTTGCTTCCTAAAAGGGTTTGATGCTTTTCTTTGCGCTACAACTTGTTCAAACATTGAGCCAAATGGCAAAACTGATTGAGGATATTGTCAGGTTCCTATTGCATTAGTGATATATACTTGAATCCAACATGACAAAACATGATAACATGTTTCCAACACTTATAGATGTGAAAAATCTTTTGATTTACCTCGAAAATATTTAGAGAGAAGTGTGCTATGCACTTCGGGTGCACATATATATCTGTATCCGAGGAAATATTTATATCCATATCCATTAGGATGAGGATATGTTTACTAAAACCTATATTCAATAGGATATGGTTACTGATATGAATATCAAGTGAAGCATTTGGTTCCGTATTCGAAATATCTGAATATATGTGGGTCATATAGTTGTAAAAGTTTTAATCCTTAGATTAATGGAGTTGAGGTTAATTTTGATGATCAAGAGATCTAATCTTTGGTTTTTCTGATATGACAAACATATTAGTGAATTCTCTTATGTCATATGAATTATATTATTTTCAAATATGAAGAAATTTTGAAATAGCCCCAAAACATTTTTTTTTAAAAATCGACTCTCTTCTGCTTTTATTATAGAAATAAACCCACTTTTTAGCCACATCAGCACCGTGGCCAGAAAGTGGGTTAATTTTTTTAAAAAACCTTCTTAATTAGTCGGGGTTAGCAACCCCGATTAATTTGAAACACAGTTGCATTTTGCTAGCTAAATTAGTCGGGGTTCGAAACCCCGACTAATTTAGCTCATGTTTAAAATGGTCGGGGTTTCATTTCGTTCACTCCCAGTGTGGACTCCCCAGTCACCAGAATCCTGACCTTTGTCTCTTCTCAAAGTCAACGAATCCTCTCTCTCTCTCAATAAAATCTCAATAAAATCCAAGAAACCCTAACCCTAACCTTAATTCATCTGAGGTCGGGGATGGTAAAGGGAGGCGAAGAGGGGAGCTGGTTCATCTACAGCTTCGTTGCGAGGGGGGCGATGGTGCTCGCCGAGTTCACGGAGTTCAACGGTAATTTCCCGGCAATCGCCGCTCAGTGCCTGCAGAAGCTCCCCTCTTCCAACAAGTTCGCCTACTCTTATGATCACCACACCTTCAACTTCCTAGTTCACGATGAGTACGGTGAGTTGTTGGCTCGCAGGATTTCGTCTGATTTTGGTGTAATTTTATTAGATTTAGGGAGGAATTTTATTAGGAAGTCAAAACTGTAGAAATTAAGCTGGAATTTTTGAACTAGATTTGAGACGGTTGTTGTTTGATATTGTAATTTAAAAGACGGAGTGGGCAAAAATGTGTGCTAAATGGTCAGGGTTCCCAACCCCGACCATTTCAAATTAGAATTTTTTAAGGTGAGCTAAATTAGTCAAGGTTTCGAGCCCCGACTAATTTGACTGGTAAGGATCCAAATTAGTCGGGGTTGAAGGTGTTAAAAAAAATCGACCCACTTTCTGGCCACGATGCTGACGTGGCCAGAAAGTGGGTCTATGTCTGTAATAAAAACAGAAGAGAGTCGATTTTTTAAAAAAAAATGGTTTGGGGCTATTTTGAAAATTTCTTCTTTTCAATATTATCTAGTTCTCTCGTATCCATTTTGCATCCGCATGTATACCGCTTATATATCTGTATGTATATCCATATAAATATACATTTTAACATATATGGATATGAATTTTCCTTACCAATGCATATCTATATCCGTATCTGTGATTGGCAAGCTGATACAGATATGCACACAGATATGCATCCTTTTGATGGACTAAATATTTGTTAAATAATAATTACTATTTAAACTTCTACGTAAGAAACACACCCAAAACACATGTTTATATAACTGAAATATACATACATTTGAAGAAAACAAAAATAAACATGCCTACATGTCTAGATAAATGGAGGATGTCTATGTACAGCGTCTTTTGCCCATGTTGGAGTAGAAGCAAGTTTTTATAGGTTGCTTCATCACAGTATCACATCATTAAACTATGAGTACACATAAAGTTTGGAAGTTACCTCACTCTCCATATCTGCAGTGAAGCTATAATCAGAAACCTCAGAGAAAAGATGATGAAGAAATACTGACACCTACAAGTGGAGAATATTTAAGGGCATATGTTAAAAAAAGGGTGAAGAAATAAATAGTATGATGAAGATTAAGGTAAAAGAGAAGCCAGCGCAAGTGCATATGGTGATTCAACAAAAGAGTAAATGAAAGGTAATGAATGCATTGAACAGTATAGAATATAAGATTCAAAATAAAAAACAGCATGATATTCAACCTATCTGATCAAACAGTTTGCCTGTAAACAAAATCTAACAGAAAACTCCCGAAAAGATAGGCTGAATATTATGATGGCCACCAACTAAACATCTACTCTCTGTCTGAGGTAATAATTAATTACCTAACAAAATTATGCACAACAGAGCCGTTAAACCTAGAAGCCAAGTGGCAGAGTAGGATCCTTCTTCCGTATAAACTCATGCAACCAGGGAGGCAGATGTAATATAAATTCATGTGTCATAGCAACATAATATAAGACAAACAATCAGATAGAAATTTGACATGAATTTCCAGTGGATATTGGCCTATAACCAAAAAATGGAACAAGCAAGAAGAAAAACATGCTCAAGAAATTTCATGTAATGTAACCTAGTCCACCTAAAAGAGAGCTGTTATTGATTTTGATACCGTAAGTCTCGATGAAATTCAGTCTATAGGTAAAACAAGAAAGGAGTTGTATGTTAGTGGGAATGAAAATCCAACATTTTGGCTTAGAAAGCATTAAAGACAGATAAATTTTTATTTTCGACCGTTTTTAAAAACTTAATTATCAAATTCGACCTAGTTTTAGCAACCTGACAGAAACTGGATCGAAATTGATAAATAAGTGCAAAAAACTACATAGAATTGAGAATCTTGTGTAGTTTAGTAGAAAATTAAGCTACACGGGAATCTCAATCCCGTGTAGTTTAGGACCAGGCAAAACTTCACGGGATTGTGAATCTCGTGAAGTTTATAATGAATAAACTACACGGGATTGACAATCCCGTGTAGTTGGCTATATGGTTAGCCATTGCCATTTAAACAATATTTTGTTGAGAGGGCATGGTTTTGAATCCCAGCCATGTAATATTTTTTTTTATGTTTAGGAAAAAAAAGTTTATGTTGGCTATCATGAGATTCGAACTCAAGACCACTTGAACAATTGAAATGTATGTTTCTTGGGGTTAACCACTTAGCCAACTATTGTTATCATGCTAGATTTGAACTTGAAATTATATATTGATTCCCTAAACATTAAAAAAATTTACATGCCTGGGATTCGAACCTATGCTCTTTCAACAAAATATAGCTTATATATAGCAATGGGCTAACCATGTAGCCAACTACCCGGGATTGTCAATCCCCTGTAGTTTATTCCTTATAAACTTCACGGGATTCCCAATCCCGTGAAGTTTAGCCTAGTTCTAAACTACACGGGATTGAGAATCCCGTGTAGTTTAATTTTCTACTAAAATACATGGGATTCTCAATCCAATGTAGTTTTCTGCACTTATTTATCAATTTCGTCCCAGTTTCTGCTAGGTGGCTGAAACTAGGTCGAAAATGATAGATAAGTACAAAGTAAGTCCAAAATAATAAATAAATTTAAAAAAGGGTCAAAAAAGAAAATTTATCCCATTAAAGACTCTAAGATGTTCTGAGGAATATGGCATGGAGATTAGCAACAAAATCATGACATACCATGCGCCCACGAAATTCAGGATGCAATTCTTGATTTTTCGTTGTTACGTAGTTCCTGTCCTGGTATGCATAAAACATATCATTCATAACATAAGAAAATTATAGCTAGTACAAGTAAGAAATATCAGGCATATACTATAGAAGTTTGGAAAAAAAAAATCAAACACAACCAAGAGATTAGAATATCTGTTATGAAGAAAGAATGCTGAACCTTAGAATAAAAAATACGACTACAACAAGTGCTTCGGATCTATTTTAGGTATTATTGACAATGAGCAAACTTCACCACACATTAGTTTACTTCCTAGCACAAACTTTTTCCTTCATCCACGTTTTTTATGAAGCACATCTAGGTAACTATACCATCTATGATACTTAATTCTTTCATCACCATTTATGGCAGCAAGACACATATAGAGAAACTTAAAATTTTCTTTCCTGAAAATTTCTCACAGTATATTTTGTATTCCTTATTTACTGAATTCTGCAGCACAAGCATCCATTGTATTTACCTGAATTAAGATACCAAAACCAGATACCCATCTGCAGCAAAGATGTGGTTAAGGAAATGGAATCTCGATGTAGTTAACATGCTGATATTTTGCTGAAGGTCATAGTAACATAAAGATTTTTACTTTTCAACCTTCACCCTGCTATATGGTTGTAAATTTGTACTGAACCATGCTATTATCATGATTTTTGACATTATTATGTTCCTTTATTCCTTTCCGGCAATTATTTGCATTATACCTATGTGTATATTCCACGAACCACAAATTTTAAAACTCAAATATAAAGTACAATATTTTCTCTACCATTTGCTTCTATTTCCTCAAGGTTTTGCGATTGAGATATCCATACCTTGTTTCAGCCTAAGAGATTGAAAGGATCCAATAAAGATTATTCAGCTATGATACTCAATCCTCCTTTTGCATGGAAGAGTAAGCATACATTTCAGCAACCAAAATTTCTATTATAACTGTAAACAAACTTTAACCACAGCAACTTCATTTCAACATATGCATAACTACAGCACCTGTATAGAATATTTCAGGTGACATGTCTCAATAACTGTAAATTCCCATAACCGTTTTATGAGTCCAATAAATTCTCTTTGTACCATCACTATATAATTGTATGTGTGTGTAATGGTCATTCTACGAATAGCAGCCAAAGAACAAAATGTTGGAGAATCACATTACAATTTTCAAAATTCTTGGAGACAATTCTTTGGGAAGATATAGCTATATTAAATAGAATGTTATCCACGCTAAAGAAAACTGGAACACAGCATTTGTAGGAGAAACTTCTGAATAAGATCACATAATGTTGCGCTGAACAGACAGACGTGCTAGTCAAAAAGCACAAGAGTGTGAAAGATATGAGAACCTGACCAATTTTTAGATTAAAATTGGATTTCAGCACAAAATGTGAGACCCAGTTTCCTTAAGAGAAGATTTCCATCAACAAATATAGAATCAAGCAAGCTTGTATCTGGGGAGATTTAGTCAAATCTAAATTCAAACACAGAAAGCCCAACCACATATCATAAATAACTAAATTAGAATTGAGACATGCTAGTCAAAAAGCACAAAGGCTGTAAAAGACAGGAGAACCTGACAAATTTTTATAATAAAATTGATTTGGGTACAAAATTTGAGACCCGTTTTCCTTGTGAGAAGATTTCCATCAACAAATTTAGAGTCAAGCAAATTATATCTGGGGAGATTTAGTTCAATCTAATTACAAAAATAAAAAACCCTACCACATATCATAAATAAATAGATAACTATATTTGGTACACAGCTCTGACAAAAAATCAAGCATGTCTCATAATATTTCAATAATAAGATGAAACTAGGCAAGTCATGCTAATGAAACAAATAGTCAAAGGAGAAAGAAAATTGAGAAAATTTCAGCACCTGCAGAACTTTCATAATGGATGCATAAGTTGATGGTCTTCCAATTCCCAGATCTTCCAACTTTTTTAGCTTAAACCCAGAATAGACAATTCAACCAAAGTTAAAGGCGGAGACAGTACAAGGATATTATATAATGTAGACATACAATACAAAAGCAATAGGGAACAATATATCAAAACTCTTACCAATGTTCCCTCAGAATAATGTGCTGGTGGTTTAGTATAATTTTCTCGGAGGTCCACATTAACTAAAAATAATGGATCCTTAACCTGTAGAAAGACAATTATAAATAAATAAATAATGCTTAACTGTAAAGAAGCCGTAGTTTAAATGCACCATCTTCCTGACCGAGGGTGTAACTTTGCATACCTGTAGATCGGAGAGAACCTTAAAAGATGACTCATTAGCTTCCACTTCCTTGACTTCACTTGCAGCGCTAGCAGCTTTACTGTCCTAAATAACAGTGCAGAAAACCTTTCACATTTCTTTAAGATGTATAGCTGAAAGCAGATAAAGGATAACATTACTCCATCCTACTTCATCTTACTGCAAATAAAGAAACCTTCAAAGACTGATATCTGCAGCTACTAATTTAGGTTTGAATGTTAGAATTCATCACACAACACCTAGATAAATTCCTGTTTATCTAACAATAATGTAGAGTCAGCATATTGGTACAACTCGCATGAAGCATATATTATAGTTTCATAGTCACTGGACAATATATATGGTGAGACACATGAATATGGAAAATTAGCTTCTAACATCGACATGGTCATGTATTTTAAAATAATGCAAACCATTTCCCATTATCATCGGTACTGTACTTGTAATTCTAGGACACAATTTCAGTGCCTAAGTGACAGATACTTAACTAGCATATAAAAACTCATGCGACTTGGTTGTTATTCTTGGGAAATAAAACAAGTAGCTAAACAAAAATAATCATAAATTTTATAAAAACCATTTATAAATAAGAAAACTATTTAAAACTTACATTGATTTGAAAAAGAGATCTCCAAATAAATGAAGAACTGGATTGTTTATGTGTTTGTATATTCATGCATGTATATGTGTGTACACATACATGAGAAAAATTGACATACGTAGAACCAAGGACAATATTGGTCCCTTATTAGTGGGGTGGTCACATCTCAATCATTCATGTACTTGGTCATCACTTGAAAATGGTCCCCACACAATTACTCACTGTACTTGAAAATAGTCCCCACTAATACTTCTAAAGAATTATCCCTCTCTGATCTCAACAAAGAGATTCAGACTTTAAAACAAGAAGTAAACTTCTAAGGCAAGAGAATCAATACATCCTCTCTAAATTTAGTGAAGAAGAAGAAGACCCTAGAGAAAAACAAACATCAATAGCTTCTTCTCGGCCTAACTCACCAAGAATCTCTAATAGAGATCATGATGTTCCACAATCATCCCAAAAAGATGAATTTCTAAATATATTACAACAGGTAACATCTCAGTAATGGTACATCAATATAACATTGGTTATAGCAAAGCAAGTATTTATACTAGATCTTATAACTTTGGTAGATAGCAGTGCAGATCTTAACTGCATTCGTGAAGGTATTGTACCTTCAAAATTCTTTGAAACCACTATCCAAACTCTAAGTAGTGCAAATAGTGACAAACTTGAGGTTAATTTTAAATTACCTTCTGTCCATATTTGTGTACAAGACACTTGTATCCCAATCCCTTGTGTTCTTGTGAACACAACGCGTCATATTAGGTACACCTTTTCTGCACAATATAATGCCTATGCATAAAATAGATTCACAAGGAATCCAAGCTAGTTATAATGGCAAAAAGATATTATTTGAGTTTATAACTGATCTTCAAACTCGTTTATTAAACGAAGTCAAAAATATTCTTCTTAAAGAAAAACAAATAAATTTTCTTAAAGAAGAAGTAGCATTTATTCAAATATAAGAACAAATAAAAAGGAGAAAAGAGTTAATAACTCAAGTAGAAGAATGTTTTAATAAAACAGACTATAGTAATATCCCTAATGCCTTCTGAGATAAGGAAACAACATATTGTTTCACTACTATATGTAGATGACTTCAAAGAAAAGGACATCCCTGCTAAATCTAGGTCATGTCAAATGAATCAAGAATATCTTGATCTTTGTAAAAAAGAAATAACTTCATTACTTGAGAAGAAACTTATAAGGAAATCATATTCTTCTCGAAGTTGCACAACTTTTTATGTTAATAATTATGCAGAACAAGAGATAGGAATCCCTCGCCTTGTTATTAATTATAAACCTTTAAATATGGTTTTAAAATGGGTTAGGTATACTATTCCAAATAAAAGAGACTTATTAAATCATATCAATAATGCAAAGATCTTTTCTAAATTTGATCTTAAATCTGGGTATTACCAGATACAAATAGAAGAGAAAGATCGTTATAAAACTGCATTTGTTGTTTTATTTGGACACTTTGAATGGAATGTAATGCCATTTGGGCTCAAGAACGCCCCTTCAGAATTTCAAATTATTATGATTGAAATACCTATTCCTCACATTGATTTTATTTTGTCATACATAGGTGATGTTCTGAAATTTTCTCAGACATTTGATCAGCATGTTAAACATTTAGACATTTCGAAATTTAGCAATACGGAATGGGTTAGCCATATCAGCCGAAAAAATAAAATTATTCCAGACTCAGATTAGATTTTTGGGTCATAATATTCACAAAGGAACTATAATCCTTATTGAACGAAGCATTGAATTTTCTTCTAAATTTCCAGATGTAATCACAGACACCAAGCAATTACAAAGATTTCTTGGTGCTTTGAATTATGTAGCAGATTATTATCATAATCTTGCACAATACACTACTATTTTATACATCAGATTAAGAGAGAATGTTTCCCCTTAGACAGATCAACATACTGCTGTTGTTTGTAAGATTTAACTAAATGTTAAAAGGCTACCATGTGCATATCTAGCTAATACACAATGGTTTAAAATTGTTGAGACCGATGCTTCAAACATTAGTTATGGAGGTATCCTCAAACAGGTTGATCCCGTTAATAATAAAGAGTAACTAGTTAGATTTACCTCTGGTAAATGGGATCCAGGTCGGTTTAATTACTCCATAATTAAAAAGGAAATGTTAGCTGTGGTAAAATGGTTTTACAAGTTTAGAGATGATATTCTCAACCAGCATTTTCTATTAAAAATAGATTGCAATTCTACTAAAACAATTTTAGAAAAACATGTTAATAATCTTGTTTCTAAGCAAATTTTTGCCAGATAGCAAGCTGAGTTAACAATGTATCAATTTAAAATTGACTACATATGTGGAAAAGATAATCATTTACCTGATTTTCTAAGACGTGAATTTTTGCAAGGTACCCATGTGTCGCAATAACTCCTCCCAAAGGAGGGGAAGGAAGGAATGGAAGCAATTACAACAATGAAAGGAGTTTTACTCCGACCTACCCAAATTCATGGAGAACTATCTCCAAAAAGGGAAATACTAATGTCCATTCATCATCCTCTTCGAAAGGGTTAGAAGATTTAATGACAATAGAAGATATACCTGAACCATTCTCTGCCATAATCAAAAAAGAAATAGAATGGTTTACTAAAACTATATCCGATACTGTTCTCCATATAGAACAAGAGGACATTCCTCTTATGAAAAATGTGGAAAACCTAAAACAAAAATATTTAGATTCCACTTACTACCCCACCTTGTCTCTTAAACCAAGTGCATGGATGAAAACAATACTTATTTAGAAAGGTACGGAAATCATACACTTTTGGAGTAATGACAATCATACTGTCCCTCTAAATTTCAGTAAATGTATTATCAAAGAAGTTATATTTCATAGAGATTGGGCAATGAATACTAACCAGGAATTTCCTCTAGTTAAAATGTCAAACAAAGAAATTTATAATTTTAATTACTAGGATTATTAATCGACTTTTTATCAACTATTCCTTTATCAAAATTCCAAAAACAAACATACATGGCTAATCAAGTTATGTCCTGAAGCCATTTACAAAGGCTTACCCATCTGGTTCTACGATTGGTGGTCTTAGTGCAGACCTTGATATAGTACCCGAACCTATATCAAAATTATATACCCCTTGGGTTGAGTCTCACCCAGTCATCCAGAAGATGAATGAGAATCAAATTCTCAAGGGACTATGCCTAGCATATTTCTTTGCTGAAGCAGAAATCCCATAGATCTAGAATTGGTCCCTAGAAGCAAGCTTGAGATGAACTTCACTTACCATCTCTTCGAAGAAGATATCACAGTAAATGGTGGACAAGCATCGGTGTCCAAGATAAAGTGAAACAAATAGAAGAAATCATTAAAAGAAATAATAAGATCCTTGAAGATTCTTTGACCCAAGAAATTCAAAATAAAAATCCTATGGTCAAATTAGCAAAAACAATGAAGAGGAAATACCCTCAAGCTACGGAGGCTGAAATTCAGCAAAAATGTCTTGAGTATATGAAGAGACAATTCTTCAAAGTATTTGATAATAGTGATATTATGTCAACAAAGAGTGCAGATACGCATATATCCACGCAAGATACTCAAGGGATAGATATATCCTTACCAGATGCATAGGATCCTTATGAGAAAACTGTCGAAGAACTATGGGAAGCAGTCATGAGAGTTCCCATAGACATAAAGGGTAAAGGTATAGAGTAAAACTATCATTTACCCGCAGTCATATTGACTTAATTACTAAATTTATAACTTCTCAAAGTTCTACTTTACTGATCAATCATATTGCTTAGTAATAGCCAAGCTACCACCTTAGAGATTTTTTTAAAGTAAAATGATTAGGTGCGCTATGGGGCCCAAAGTGTACCCAATACCTTTTCTTTAACTTTGAGTTGAGCCTCAGGCAGTGTTTTAAATATCGGCCGACATGTCCGACATGTCGGCCGATATAGCGGATCGAGGTGTCGAGCGACACAAATTGGGGAAATACAAATCGCATATCGTTTTTGGGCGATATATCGGTCATGTCAGCGAAAAATCGGAGATATCGGCCGTTATTTCCTATTTGAAAAATCGGCCAAAATTTATGAAAATCGGTTCAGCTTATTGGCTTTGGTTTGGTTAATTGGGTCGATGACTTGCCCTCTTTTCGAACCCGATAGACACCCCAACGACTGATATACACCCGATCAAAAGAAAAAGAAGAAAAAGAAGAAAAAGAAGGAGAAAAACACTCGATCAAAAGAAGAAAGGAGAAAAACCCTAGTTCTCGCTCGCGACTGGGAACCAGCGGCCTCCTCTCATCGTTTTGCCGTCGTGGTCTCAACAATAGCAAAAACCCTAGGTCTTCGTGGTCAGAAATCCGAAGCTCCTCTTTCTTCTGCGCCATCGGAGTTCTCGTCTGTGGATTTCCCCGTGCCGCCGCCATCGAAGCTCCTTTGGTAAGC